TTATTTCTTTTATTCAAGATTCTTGTTATTTAATCATACATGTGTTGATTTTTGCTATGAGTTTAATGCATTGAATTACTTGATCACTAATTTGATAATTTTGTTGAATATTTTACGAATCGAGAGGTGAGTTTGAAATTTATACCATACAATAAATTAGTAAAACGTGTAGAGATACCTACACTAATTATTGCGATTATTATATGAATTCATAGAATTAATATTTCGTTTAACTAAGATTGATTCGCGTAGAGATATGAAATTGAATTAGTTAAATAGGTTCAATGAGATTTTGAGAGGGATAAATTGAATACAATAAAAGAATTCGATCAACACTACATTATACTCTTGAATTAAGACTTAAATATGATCAATACGTGAAATTGTTCTGCCATAATATCTGTTCATTATTTGAATTCTAAATCGATCTTCATTTGATTAATTTCAAGTGTTTAAACCAAAAAATCACAACTTTTAATTCTTCGTCTGCTTTCATCAAATAGGAGTTAGAAAAAATTAGATCAAGTCCTAAAGTATAGTCCTCGTGGGAACGATAATCTGGAATCAAATGTTCACTATATTACTTGTTATAATATCATACACTTGCGATATAAGAAACGTAACAAGATTCATATGAATAGCATGAATAACAAATTATATTCCTAATAGATAGCCATAAAAAAATTCCAATTATACATAGGACAATACAAATCCTCTTCTTTTTAAGCCCCTATTTGGTGAAGCTAAAAATTAGATTTTTAGATTTTAATAAAAGTTAATGAAATGTACGATTGGTTGAAAAGTTAATAAAAGTTATGATCCGATATAATGAATGATTAAAATTAATTATTAACTTTAACTTAAATTTTTAACAAAACTTTAAGATACCTATGCAGCCCTTAATAGTATTTCACATATAGATCATCATACTCTCCCATTATTTGCCACTACTGGTGAGCCGATCCTCTATGACTCGGGTTTATAATTTAAATTTTTTAAAATAAATTTAATAAGATTTCAACAATATTTTTATATAAAAAAAATTAAAAT